CAAGTTGTGACTAAAGCGATTGTGGCCTTGGGCCACAATTTATGCGGATCACTTTTGTGAGGCTAGTGCCGTATCTACCCTTTTTGTTTTAATCTAAGTTGTGGAGCTGGTCAAATTTTCACACAAAACTTATTCTTGACATTTGAATTGAAACTTGAACTCAACTATTAGAATTCGATATTGGTTCGTGGTACGGGTGCAGTATTTGTTTCGAATTAAAAAGTTTATATTTGGAAAACAATACACTACGCTTGTACCATGCAAACAAAGTGCGAGCAAAGCAAGCGAGCATATAGATATTACACGATTTAAATTCTCATAAGTAACTATGTATGAAACCTCCTTTTGTAACTCCATAAGACGTTTGTGGCTACATATTTTTCTTTTGCATGACGTACTTTAGTAAATCATAGTTTGCTGAGCTCTTTGTGTGCGTATGTGCGTTATATCGTATTTATATTTCTTTACGGTTGGCCGACTACGAATGTTCTAGCCAAAGCTGAATGTAAGATGGGGCGTATGAATGAGGAAATAGCTCGCATGCCTTTTGTCTCGTTCAAAGGTCCCGCTGGGGTATTAATTTTTAAGAGAGAGCAAGAAAAAAATATGAATTCCTGCCGCGCCCTCATAATCTCCAAAATGTGTTCTCACAAAATATGTCCATATCTATACTCTTTACATAGCAGACTTATTTAAATAATGGATTTCAGAAGTCTTTTGGATTTGGAAGGTTAATCTTCCTAATGCATGTTGAATGTTTGGGGGTCCTTAGAAAAATAACTGAAGTTATTTTTTCCATACGAAAAGGGCGACAGCGGAAATCTATTATTACAAAGCTTCCGCTGCTGTGTGCCCGTCCGTCTGTATCTCAATACCATAAAAAAAAAATTATACTGTCCCTCAAACAAAAGCCTTTACTATATTCATTTATTTTTAAATTATTTTTTACAAGGAAACCGATATTTTATGGCGTTTATGTTTTGAAAGTGAATATCTTTTTACAATGGTACGGCACGGCATTTCCGTGCGAATCGGTCTCACACTTAATATTAAGCAGTGTTTACAAAGATGAAAAGCATTCGTTTAAGCAAGGAAGTGCTTTGAATATCTCTTCTTTTTGTGATAAAGAATATTTATAAAGATATCTCAATACCTAGACATTTTACTATGTGTATAACTTTTTGTAGTAAGACCGCTAGTATCTCGTGAACATCATGTCCATGTTAAGTTAAATATTCGAGGTCTAATTCAAGAAAAGAGATTTTATTTCAGTACTTACATAGAAATTTTAATATTAATTCATTCGAGTAGAATATTAGCATAAGCGGACGATTATCTGGAGCTGCCTCAACCTAACTTTATTTTCTTTTACTGCTCTATGCCTCCGCTCTAAATCTTGTAACGCCATCTGCGCCTGTCCCTTTTCAATATTTCTTAGTGGAATATTTGACGTTGACAACTTCGCATTCTACAATTAAATTTGTTTTCTAATCAAAAAATAAGGCGCATCGTACATTAGGTAAGGCTTGGCGAAGACACTGAGAAATTAACAATTTAAGTAAAACCCTAATCTTATATATAAAATTCTCGTGTCACAATGTTAGTTACCATACGAAACGGCTTGACCTAGTATTATGGATATTTTATTTGCATATTCTGTAGGTCTGAGAATCGGCTACTATCTATTTTTCATACCCCTAAGGTTTAGAGGTTGTCCCACCACTAAATTTTTTTTTAAATTTTCTATAAATTTTATTTTTATGGTTCTTCTTTAAAAAATGTATAAAACCCTAAATTCTCACCCTTCTACCACCAGCTACTTTTCTATGGCGGTACGAAGATCGCTGGGTTAGCTAGTTCCTTTATAATTAGTTTAAAATGTTTATGGCAAACATGGAGCTATACACAAGCGGCGCACTGCGCTGCTAAGCGGCCACAAGAGCCGGCGCGCGGCTACACCGCTCCGTGGCTCTAGGCCGCAATCAAAGTCGCCGCGCGCTGCTCCGTGGCTCTTGGCCACACTCGGAGTCGCCCCGCTTAGTGTCTTCGCCGCACCTCTCCTAGTGTGCGCTGCGCCAACAATTTTAACCGCAGTCACGAGAAGCTGTAAACAAACATTTTTAAGAAGTTGCCGTTTAAGTTTATTTAAAAAATTGTGTGTGTCAGCTCCGACGCACGACTGGAGTTTACTCCTTAAGTTCGATAGTCTAACCAGACGCAAAAAGAGTTTATTTTACTTAAAAAAGATTGATACTGAAAAAAATATACATATATAAATATATATTTATTCACTTCATATACATTTATTATAACTAATCGACGATTAATTATGTATATACATATATAGGGCGATAATGTATACGCCATTTAAGTTTGTGCTTTTAAAATTTTAGTTCATATATATCAAAATAGATGGCGCTGTAGTTCGTTGCATCACGCTTGTAAATATGTTTGGAGCTACATATAGGCAAAACGTCACCTAACTAATAAAGAAATCTGTGGTCTAACAAAATACACTGTAGTTTCAATTTAATTCTTTTGCACCTAATCTCTCGGATTTAAGAGTCATTTTGGCTCGAACAGGATGCGCACCAAAAACGTAAAGAGGTCATTCATCGATAGATTTTACTAGCGGTGGGTCGTTCTCAAATTTTCTGACGACGAAACGCAACCGTTTTCTCTTAAACGAAAACTAGTCCTCGAAACGGTTCTCGTTCGCAACTGGTTTTGGTTGCGGCTGGGTGAAACGAAACGACACGCGACGGTCGAACGAAGGTAACGCAACGAAACTGAACTAAATGAAATCTTGTTAACGTTCGTACTTCGTTTCGTTGCTGCGAACGAGATGACAAAACATCGAAATAAATGTAGTGTTATACGATAATCGACTTTAAGTGTTCAATAATAAAGATTATTTTATTGTAAACTCAAAGCTTAATTTATTATAGAACGAAACGGCCTCACATCATTGCGTTCTATTATAGACTGTATTTATTTCATCATAAAGTACATATTGGCGTGCAGACAATCCGAGGACTAGTTGTTCGACGAAGACTGTTTTGATCCGAAACGTAAAACGGTTCTATCGTCGCGGAACACAAAACGGTCCTTGAAACCAGTTCGTCTTTAGAACGCTCACACCTAGATTTTACTCCTCACATTTTTTCTCATACCCGGCCCCTTATATATGCAAATCAATTCTTAAGGAGTAAATTCCAAAAAATAAAAGGAAAATAATCCTTGAGGATACCAAACAGCAAATAATAGTATTTAAACTTATTAATATAACACATCCCACGGGATTATGAAACGCGTTTAATAGAGTTCTTACATAATTAAAGCTCTCTTAAGCTTGATTTTTCAATTCCTGGTAAATTCATTAATATTTTTGCATCTGTTATCGTATTATATTAATTGACTTGGATTGCGGCAAATAATGTCAATACTTTTGGTAGCCTTAATAGTAAGGGAGTTACCGTAAGAAGGGCAATCTTGCACCTTGTGAAGTACTCCCACCATACCGGAGCCTTTTACAATAGGGTCGAACGTCTGGGGCAGATCAGTATACCAAAAAAAAAATATCAAACGTCCATGACTTTTGGTCATGTCCAAACGTCAGTCTTCAAAATAGTGAACTCTCCGCTGCTCTTATTCAAAAAAAGATTTGGATGCGACTAAAAGTCATGTCCAAAAGTGTTTTTTTTTTGGATTACTTACTTACGTTTGGATTCCCCCACTATAAGCATGTATTTATTTTTATAGGTAATGTTAATGAATACTGAACTGTGACACAAATAATTCCACCTCATATTATGTGCCCTGGGGATTAAATATATCACTCACAAAATTATCCACCCTTAACACACATGCATACGTAACTTCAAGTACACTCAACTGCCTACGGGATTGCCAGAACATCAAAGGTATGACATAATAAGGCATAAATAAACATTAAATATAAATTACGTCCTTTAACTACCTTCACCTCAAAGACGCTATATTTATCATATGATTTGTCCTGTTTGTGTATTGTAATTACTGTACCTAAACCATGACAACTACTTTGTATTTCAAGATTCATTATCGATAAAACCGGAAAAGGGGGAATTCAGTTACGTTTTCATTATTATGAATAGCTCTGAGCTAATGACTCCTGTCCAACTAATGTTAAGAGATCGATCAGTCTAGATGCGTAAAGACGCATCATAGTAAATGCAACATCTTTATCTGTCACACCAGCCATCTTTACCTTGCTGGCCTGCAAAATACTTCTTCAAGGCCTTTTCATAGAACTTCGGGTTTTTAGAAAGAAACAAGATAGCAAAATTCTTACATGAATTTCTTTTTTGAGGAAAGGTTATGGATGTATTTATGGGTGTGGTGAGTTTTCTTTGCCTAAAATAAGGAATGGCAAGGTGATTTGTTGGTCCATTCTTGAACAAAAATTAAATAAAGTTCAATCTTTGGCCTAGCGAGGCTGATCTTGTAGGATATTTACTATAAGCTCTATGCATTTTTTTTGTTTACACGGAATGTTTAACTATTGTACGTTTCATGGGTGACAAAACAATTGTGTGCACGGACCACATATCTGAAGTGAAACTTCTTTTCTTAAATACCTAGCATTAGGCGGTGCATAAGGCATAGGGGAATGGCGCAGAGCACGTATCACTCATATATATATATTGTCGCGTCTGACGCTCGTGACGTACGTGACCCTCGTAGCGTTTCAGCCTTCGCCGAGTTACCCTCCGACTCATATGAGTCACACGCATCCCACAAACACATATATAAATATATAGTCGAGTGACGGTCGTGACGCATTTCCGTTTCATTTTTCCATAGAATTTTTCCATTTACACCCCGTCCGAAAAAAAAAACCGATTCCCCGCCGGCGGTGGGACAACTGCCTTAAGGAAGCCGATGTTCTTTATATATTAATAAGATAATGACTATGCCATTATTTAAATTAAATCGCATGTATGTTTTGTTTCATCCAGCTGGTTCCGGTACAGAAGCGCCACTGGACGACTCCACGGCGGACGTTTCATCGCGACGCTTTCGAGCCGAGTTCCTCCAAGAGTGGCAAGGTTCGACAGACGCCCCATACTTCGACCCGAGCACTCCGAGGAATATCACAGGCTTGGTGGGACATCCAGTCAGGCTGCTGTGCAGAGTGAAGAATCTACAAAATAGAACGGTGAGTTTTACTTGTTTCACAGACAGAGAGGGAGTGATTGACTATCTCCTATTTTCTTGCTAAAGAAACTGGAGTTTGTACATGTCGTAGGATGATTATTTTGACAAATCGAGTTTTCGCGAAAACCTTAGGGGTGTTTGCGGAAAAGTGGATAATTAGATAATGGCGATGACATTTTTCAATCAAAATTACTGAAATAAAAGTAAATAAAAAAATACCTATTTTTAAAACAAGCTTTTATTGCTTGTTAATAATAAGAAGAGAAAAGTAAATAAAAAATATGTTTGTTTCTTAGGTTTTCACGCACATCACTCATTAAATAAAACTAGTTTTTATTGCATATAGATATTATGATCTGTGATCCAAATACTCACCAAGACGAATCAAATGAGTCCAAAATACGATGCGGTTACGTCGTTTTATTTCGAAGGTCTATGGCCACCTTTCAGCTTCATTACCAAGCCCTGGTTTGCACCCAGCTCGGAGGAAGATCTTCCCCTTTGGCCTTCCTACACTATCACGTCGGGGTCATCAGTGTAGGAAGGCCAAAGGGGAAGATCTTCCTCCGAGCTGGGTGATGTTAGCTCTCGGGGGCCGCGGCCCGACTGATGTTGGTCGGGCATCGTATATATGAAGAGTTAGCCTCCGAATTTCATTTGCGCGATGTAGGCTTCCATACTCACGCCATCTCTTGAGGATGGTGAGTAATGATTTCCTCCATCCGTTGTATATATGTGGGGCATATAGATGTCGCCGCCATAATGGCCACCTTCCATTTCCATCATCAGATCAGCTTCATGGTACCATATTATTGCATTCTCACTAGCCACATCACTATAGCAAATTTCAGCTCAATCGGATAACAAGAAGTGGTCAAAAAATGGTTTACAAATTTTGAAGCTACATATTACATACGAACAGTGCAAATTTAATAAACGCTTGTTATAATAATAAAGATAGGATTTATGTGAAAATAATCGTTATCTTATTACAAATATTATTAGGTTTATGGAGACTTAGGTAATGTTAGGTTAGTTTAGTTTATCAAAAGTCTATTCTATGAATGCAGGCCCTATTTTTGACCAAATGGTGGAGGCAATTATTGTAATAGCAAAACGACAACTTTCAATTTAAACTGTTCAAATTCTTTGTTTGCTTTTGCGAACAAATTTTATTAATCTAGGTTTTTTCTGATATGATGATTTGTTTAACACAGCTTTGTTCTTCAAACAATACGGTTATAGTGTATATAAGTTCCAGTTCCCGTAGCATGAGCACCACAATTTACATTGTATCTATATTTTATCGCGTCTAACTGTCAAACTCCATAGTGATTTGACAATTGACCGTGATAAAAACGAGCTTTTTATCATATCACAGTGCTCATGCAAGGCAGAAGTCAATTGAAAAGCTAATTTAAAGTAATTCAGAATATTTGAGATAAATAATTAAAATAAAACAAATAACAGTTTCGGTACTACTTCAAATGACTACTCAATCAATCATCGATCAACTCAGTCTACTGCAGTATACTGCTGGACATTGGTCTCTCTCTACGAATTTGGGCCACAACACCCAGTCTTAAGCATCCTACTACTGTTATCCCTAATAGAATTCATTCAAGATTTTTATCCTGACAAGTGATCACCATTAGTTTTAATTCTATCCATGTAATAAAGGTTCTTCACACCTGAGACCCACACACTCGATAAAATCCAATTACGTATATTTCTTATTTAGATAAAATGATTGATGCTCCTTTAACGAGCCGTCAATCTTTGCATGTGAATGAAAATTGAAATATCTAATCTTATGTAATAGTATTTCAAACGCAAAAGGTGATTTTTCATAGCTGATTGCTAAAAGCAATTTAATTTGGCTAGTTTTTTATTTATTTATTTATTCTTTATTACCAAAAACAGTAAATGGCGGACTTAATGCCATAGGCATTCTCTACCAGTCAACCAGTATGGGACGGATGTTTTGTTGGTTTTCCTGGTTAGGTTTCGAAATATACTACACAATAATATATAGCGTTTTCAAAATTCTAGATTGACTTTAAATTGATTCCATGATGATATCTATCCAACAACTAATGTTTTTCATTGAAATAATTTGGAAATTTTCGATGAACCAGGTAATAAATACAAATTGTTTTATATTTAATATGGAACAATACCAATAAAACATTTTTCAAACACTTCAAAAAATTATAAAACTGATACACCAAAATCCAGCACTATCTTGAAACATTATAATTATATATTAACTTTATTAATTATATTATATATTAACTAATTATATATTAACATTATAATTACATATATATATATAATTACTTATGACATTTATTTATTTCAAGTATTATTATTTATTCAATCGAGTAACTTATAACTACTATAAGACTATCTTATAAAAGTATTCGCATTTAAGAATAAATCATTTGGCTCCGGCAACTCACATGAACAAAGTAATCAGTTAGGGAGTTCGACACAGTTGAGCTCATTTATCAATCCTATAGGTGTGATCTATTGTCCTAGATCTCGTAAACGACAGGAGGAGAGCTTCATTCCCCAATACTGCGTAATAAATGTAGCGTAAGATGCGATTGACCGAGGCATTGAGAAGAGGTCATGGTGGGGTAACTAGACTGATGATAAGACACTTGATGTTGGCAATGATAAGTATCCCAATTTTCCAATTGTGGAACTGGTGGTAGTTTACGGCAGTTAGGGTCAAATAAATAAACTCAAAATTATAAAAAAAAGAAGTAAATAAAGTACTGTTTTAATTAAATTAGCCACTAAATTCATAGATAGACAATAGAGTTTTAAAACCTTCCAATGAAATATCCGAACGCTCAATAAAAGTCTTTCGAAGGTATTTCGACAAAGTATATTAAATCAATATTCAGATGACGGAATAGTTTTATTTTTCAATGCAGCTCAAGTACAGGTACACAAAAAACTCACGTTGACATTTTGATTGAATTTGATATATTAAAATCAGTTTTTTCTTTTCCTTGTTTTTTTTCGGTGATTGATTCTGCGATTCTGTCTCATAAAATTTGTATAATTACGTTATTTTTGGAAATCAGCCTTTAGTGGGTTGAATAGAGGTGTGGACGACGTCGCGGGCCTGTCAATCTATTTATTACCCCTTCAAGCGTAAACTGCTGAACTGACTTGATAAAATTGTTTGTATAAGTAGATAGTTTGAGACCCGGAAAATGATACAGGTTTTCATCCCAGTAATCATCCTTTAAGGAAATGAACCGAATGAAACAAAGTTTCCAAGTTTTCCCAGAAGCAGAGACTATAATTTAAGACAAGGGTGGCTGAACTAGTTTTTTTTATTTTATTTTATGTTTATTTCATTATTAAATTGCTAGATTTTTATATCTAAATTTAGTTTTTATTACGAAAAATCTTAAGATATCAATTACTTTTAATAAAACTGTTCAATTAGGCACAGCCTAGTGATTTAATAAAATCTAGACACGATCAGTAAACACCGCACCCGTAAAAGAACAATTTCATTAGTGTGTCAATTTACTTGTCAACTACGCAATAAATTACTAGCAGTTTTCATTCAAATAGGTAAATAGTTTTTCATTAGTTTGAGTGTGTAATTACTTACATTGCAGAACACGAGGTCTGTCCAATAGAATTAGTTAAAACTGTCTCTAGCAAAAGTTATAGCGTAACTACGAATAGTGGGGATAAATTTATTACTTACCTGATGTTTTGCACTTAAAATTTACAATTAAGTACAGCTATGTTTGAGGAGCTCGATGGCGCAAGTGGTTAGCGCGTTCGGCTGCGATCGTTAAAGTTAAGCAACTTCGCAGTGGTCGGTCATTGGATGGGTGATCAAAAATCTTCTATCTCGAGTTCCTCCGTGCTTCGGAAGGCACGTTAAGCCGTCGGTCCTGGCTGCATCTGCAGTCGTTAGCACCCACCAATCCGCACAGGGCCCGCGTGGTGAGTCATGGCCCAATCTCACTATTCCATCCATAGGGAAGGCCTGTGCCCCAGCAGTGGGGACATTAATAGGCTGATGATGATGTTTTGTAAATAAAGTGCAGAGATTAAATAAACCTGGACTTATAAGAGAGGAAGGGCACAGCGAATTTCCCGCTCGAATTGGAGCGCCCGTCCGGGGAAGCTACCTCCACCTAAGAGCAGACCAGAGTAAAATAACACAACCTTTTGGTGGTGTTGTGTTTCTGCTGGTAAGTAGGGTTCCAGGGCTCCATGGGGTACGCGGAAGATTCCCTAAACGGGGATCCTGCGGCTTCGCGCTAAGCAGCTTAGAGGGTATACGCAGGGTTTTTTAGCGGATATTATGCCGTAAAGTGCCCGTAAGGGTTACGGGGCCCTCAGTGGGCAGCCACTGCTGGGGCTCGTAAGGCTTGCGGTAGCCAGGTGTGAAGTCCGTTCGGCGGTGTGCCTCTTAAAAGCGCCGTCGTCTGTAAATAGTATTTATAGCCTGCGTGTAAAAAAAAGGGCTCCATGGGGTAGGGGATTGGTTTCAGGCCGCCAAGGCGAGGAATGAGGATGACTGAAGCGGCACACTTTCTGCCGCATTATCAATTTTCTCGACTGGACTGCTCTTACGCTTAACATCAGGTAGGCTGGGGTAATTTGTTGCGCCTCGTATAAAAAATAGCAGTTAGAGTGAGAGTGAGAGTGGAGGAGCCTGCCTACCGCTATGCGTGAGAGGAAAGGAATCAAGACAGACTGGAGCCGTAACGCGTTACGTAACGAAGCGGTTAACCCTTCCATGAGAAATTATCACTTCAAAAATTTAGCTATATAATAACAAGTAGACAGTAAACCACAGATATAAATTTATTTCTGTGCGGTAAACCGGAGGCTTACCAACAAGCGATTTGCGCTATGCAATGAGCAACTACGAAACCCTAGGTCATCTCACCTCGCATGATTACTTTAAAAAAATCGAGTGGTATACATAAATAACGCTGTAGGTAAGTACGTCGTTAAGAAAAAAAGCTTTTGACAATGCTTCATTGTATCAAATCATTTATTATTGGATAAAGAAACCTAAGGCTTCTCGCTTTTTCGAGCTCACCTCAAAAAATGAAGATTGTACCGACGTCTTAGCTAAGTATATAAAAGATTTTCTTCCTCAAAACACTTTGATCCATTAGCAGCCTTTGTATAAGTACCTAAGTGTTTTATTACCATAAGAATAGACGCTATGTGATGTAAACAAGTAATGTTTATTCATTACGTTTTATCACGGCAAACCTTGCGTGAAATTATTCCCGCTTTAAATACGAGGCGGCAAAGGATTTTATGGTTGAACGTCTTGAATTTATTTAATCTAGCATCATTGCCAATGACAGAAATTTGTACCTTATCCTCATTTACATACGAAGGACTAAAATGCTACGATTAAAGACCTCTTTGCGAATAAATGTCGGAATTGAAATACTTCACACAAAGACACTCGTTATCAATGAAAATTAAGTAAGTCCTTTTATAATTGCTTCAACCCAGTCCTTCGGATCTAGTCATTCATTATTATGTCAACTCAAACAGTTCATTCAATCTCAAAAGTCACTGAGATAGACTTTAATAAAATTTCGACTTAAATTTACCTATCAAATTACCATTCTGGCGTACTGGCTATTTCAAGTAAAACTTTTTTCTTTTTTTGCTAAGAATTCTAAGTTCAAATTATTTTTATTATTCTATTCAACAATCGTAAGCACTCAGCAAGTTGGTTAGATCCTGGTTCAGCACCTGAATAATGCCCCAAACGAAAACTGACCCATAAAAAGTGATGGTCACTGTTTGGTCGTCTAGCGTCGGTGTGATTCATCACAGTCTCTCACCAAGCGGGATGAGAATTATTGCAGATGCGTACTGTGAACGTGAAAGAACTGAACACAATAATGGAGAAGCTCGCACATCTCTAACCAACTTTGGGCAATCGTGCGGCTCTATTGCTCCTGCATTACAACGCGCGACCTCATACTGTTTAGCAGACGGTCTCCAAGTTACAAGAGCGGGGTTTAGAAGATCTTAGCCATCCACCGTTCTCACCAGATCTTGCCCCTACAGACTTGCATTTTTTGCAGAATTTGCAGAACTTCTTAGCGGGGAAAAAATTAAATAAGTTCAGTTTCAGTTCAAAATTCCTTTGAAGAATTTTTTGTCTCCCGTCCAGCGGACTTTTTCAAAAAGAGCATCAATAAGCTAATAATAAGAAAATTGATTGCATCGGTAATTACTTTAATTAATAAAAATGCATAAATATAATAAAAAATATAGAAAATAAGTGCGTTAACTTATTTCATATTCATAAAAAACGCCAACTTTATAGGTAAAGGCCTTATATTATAATGTAAATAATATTAAAAAATACGGACTAATTAAGAAACTCCATATTTTTTTAAATCGGTAAAAATACTTTATATCGTGTCATATTGGTATTATATACAGCCAGAGCAATGCTAAGGAGTTGAATACTAGATTTTTTGTCCATTTTACCTACCAATTATTTATTGACAGTGACACTTATCCAAAGATTCATTGATTATAATAGATTATTAATAGCTCTATATATCAATCAGAATTCAGGTTAATAATAAATCGTTTTATTTATTAGGCTAAAAAAATAAGCCTTACTTGGTAGATATAACTTTTTTTCAACAGCCTTACAAATTTCGCTAAATCCATTCTTAATTTCAACATCAATAACGTCACGACTGCTTTCACAGAATAGTTTAACTTTTTTCATGTCCAGAAAATCCTTGGCGGCTTCTTATATTGTGCCTATGATTATTTGAGATGAACATAAAATCGTTCGGTGTTATGGCTTCTATTAGGGTTCATATTTATGATTAGCTTTTCTGATAGCAATCGTTTCACCTCTGAAGTACGCACTTAAGCGTTCCCATTGATAATACCTACCCCAATAAAATGCCTCGACACGATCCATTATGGGGAATTCTAAACGAAGCCTGGGGGTAAATTGACGGTGTTTTTCCTTTAGTATTCTTTAAGAACATTACAGTATCTTTGATGTTGAAAAGGGCCACATCATACTTCGAAACCGGTGGTAAACAACTCGAAGTATTTTTAAGAGAAAGTGCTGGCTTATAAATGAGAATACTGCCAGCACTTGAACTCTTCAAACTGCCAGGTTTGGTATCTTCAAAAGTTTAAATATTAATATTAAGAAATGCTTCTGTGAACGCAACTTTTGGCAACTTCTATGAAGTCCAAAATATTGTAATTTTTTATAGTCTTTATTGTATCATCTTATAAATTCATTTTGTGGGTTAGCTGACGTAATAAGATTAAAAACCAAAACATATCTATAAATTATATTACAGTGCCGTAAACTATATGAAGTAATAAAATTAAAAATAATTATGAATTAGTCTATGAATACATAAATTACTGCAGAACTGCAACTACCTTACAACTTCAAACTGCTAAATGTGGTGAATAAATAAAACCCTTTAATATTTTGCCAGAGATTTGTTTAAAAACACTATCATACCATCTTAATACTATATAAAAATGTATTAGGTAAATTGTATATAGAATTTTGTAGGGTATCTACTAAATACAACTAGCAATTATTTAGAAATAAATCTGTTGATGGCCTTAAATTAAACAAAACCATTGAACCCAAGTTTCATTTCGTCCGCTAAATTTATTTTTTGAGAATCCTACGGGAACCTAACATTTTTCGGGATAAAAATTATCCTTTGTCTCAATCCAGGTAATAAACTATATGTGTGTTATATATTATCTAAATTCGTTCAGCCGTTTTCCGATTTAATCAAGCCCCGCGGTAAAATACCCCCCAATTTATCTACTACCACTTTTCACCCCGTTAGGGTAGAGTTTCAAAGAGCTAAGGGTCTACATGTTATTCTATATTTTAGGTCTGAAGTATATTGAGTTAAGAGTTAATAAACTTCGGCACACTCCAATCCCCCTTTTAAGGGCAGTTTAGGCAAACCAAAAGTGGCAAACATTATATTTTTTTTAGCTAAGTATTCCTATCAAATTACAAGTCTATTAATTCGAAGAATAAGATTTTTTTACACTCTTAGATGTACCTTTTCGAAAAACTCCGATACCCGTGTTTCTTTTTTTATGATCTTTAGTAAAAATACCAAGTCTCGAGTTAATCGAAATGCGCATTAAAAGTCATCCACATAAAAACATCGACTTTTTTAGTCTAGGAAAATAAAAATTGCAATTTATAATTTATTTAAATAACTATTCATGTCAAGTTTTTATTCCATTAACTGAAGGAATACGAACTTTCCTACAATCTTTCATCCCATATTCTAAGCCCTTCGGGGGTTAATTTTGAAAAAATATTTATTGGTGCAACCCTGAACCTCATAAGGAACCTAAATTGGGGAACTCTGTCGGGAGGCCCAGCGGATATGCTGTGCGTTGATTGAAAGTCACTCAGTTTCTTCTTTTATAAAATTCGTAGATTCGAGAGGCGAAAGAAAAACAGCCCTGAAAATTTCGATTAGGTATTTTAACGAAAATATTAAAATCTTTGTAAAGTGATTATGTAACAAAATAGGTTAGATTTCAATGAGATTAAACTGGGTTAGCATTTCGTCGACTATTGTTGATATAGCCCCGGATTTTAATTAAGATTTTACAGTACCTATTACGAAATTTGGAAATTCTTTAACCCAGTAATCCTTTTAATGTTAAGCCTCCAAGCTCTATCCAATCCCACCGTCGCATCTATTGAAGGACTTTGTCATTAAATATCTGTTTCTACGATTTCAGCAATAGTATATACATTTATTTATATCCCTTTTGGTATCTTTGATAAAGTTTTAACAGAATTCAGAAGTTTTCTTTGAGCAATATGTTATCGGTACTGCCCAATAGTATTGTAGTACGAGTATCTTACTTCTCCAAAATGTTTGCTCACATACATAAAGGATGCTTTTCAGTATTATTCTGTTTACATATTTTATATCAGTTTAGGTTTTTATCGTTATCTATTTTACTAGAAGCGAACACAACGTTTTCCGTTTTAATTGGAGCGTCTCGTCTAGAAAAGAAAAGGAGATTTTATAGAGAATCACTCTATAGTGTTTTTCCTGCAGTGGGCTAGAGCTCCATGGAGTGAGGGTTCAGAATTTCCAGAGTAAAGTAAAATGAAAAGACACAGTTTTCTTAAATAAAAACTAGACTTCTCTCACAATTTCGTAACTTCAGGTGATAAAACAAATTTTCTTTATAATATTGTTAAGATACTTTTTTTTCAGATTTTTATAATCGAATCTCAAAAGATATTTCACTTTTGTTCAGGTGTCTTGGGTGCGTCATCGGGACATACACCTTTTGACGGTGGGCCGCTACACGTACACATCGGACCAGAGGTTCGAGGCGCAGCACAAGCCACGCTCCGAGGAGTGGGCGCTGCGCATCCGCAGCCCGCAGCGTCGCGATTCGGGCCAGTACGAGTGCCAGATATCCACCACTCCGCCTGTGGGGCACGCTGTGTTTCTCAATATAGTTGGTGAGTCCAGACTAAATCATCACAATGTTTCCAACTAGTTCATGGTCAGGTTTCTCGGGTGCATCATTGAGACATACACCTGCTGAAGGTGGGTCTCTATACGTACACGTTGGACCAGAGGTTCTAGGAGCAGCACAAGCCGCGCTCCGAAGAGTTGGCATTACACATCCGCAGCCCGCAGCGCTGCTACTGGGCAAGTTCGAGTGCCAGATATCCACCACTCTGCCTTTGGGACACGCTGTCTTTCTCAAGATAGTTGGTTAGCACACAAAACTTTAATCAGTCAAATACGCTTTTTTTAATGAGATACCTAAATTACTATTCCAACCAAATATTTAGATTCCACTCGCTGGAGATGTTTTAGATGACTTATTTCCATCATATACACGGATGCAATGTACTAAATTTACTTCTTTTACCATTATACAAAATAACTAAACTAACACCGTAAGATGCACACAGAACTTTGAGAACACAGAACTTTTGATCTATATATATATATATATATATATATATATATATATATAAGTATATGTGTGTGTATAAATTTAACCATTTGTATGTATCCATGTTCCATTGTTCCGAATAAATGTTTCAGAACCATGTACAGCACACATAATTGAATGTAACAGATTCTCGTGAATGTGCATACTTCTGGTTTACATGCTTATTTCACAATGTCCGATGTGATCTCAGCTGTTAAACAGACGATAATAATCTATTTGATCCCGTCAGCTAGGGCTTGAGCACTTTGTGTATCATCAAGTTGGAGGTGATAATTTGCACACTATTGGGCGAGGGATTCGAACGCCACATTTATACGGATGATTGATTTGTTCGACCGACATGAATAATATGAAGGGTACGTGGATATACCTATCTATTTTACGTTTATGACAGTTGCTTTTACTAGGGACGTAATAGAAATTTCCATTTATCTGCACTAAATCTGTTTTAAGTTATAATAATACAACAAATGAACACTAATTCAAACTCTGACGGTGGGACGAGTTTACTTTGAAAAGAATTTAAATAGACTAAAAGTCGTTTGCGATCTTTTAAATAATTCTATTAAAATAAATATTTCAAAAAGTATAAATGGTTTAAAAGAAAGAACAATGGCAAAGTCCCAAACAAATTTTTGTTCACTTAATTTTTAAAATTTCCTACAAACATATTTCGGCATTGTCCTTAAAAAAAATTATTGTGTATGACGATCCCTATTCAAAACCAGATAACTTCTGGCATTCAATGACTATAGAGTTTATTGATTATTGTAAAAGCTTCAATTGTTAACATACCTCAAAATCTATTTTTTTATCAATCAGCTTAATTAATTACTAGCAGGTCAGTCGGAATTGATTCATAAATGAAATTTACGAGACTCGGATCTATTTCAGTAAGATAAATAATTGTTCTCTTTAGAACATCTTTATACATTAATTTTAAACTATGGTAAATTTATACGCACATGTCATTGCTTTTCTGTTTAGAACCAGAGACAACTATATCCAGTGGATCGGAGTTGTTCATCCAAGCAGGATCTACAATCAACCTTACATGTACTGTACGACATACTCCAGAACCGCCGTCTTCCATCACTTGGACTCATGGTGAACAAGTAAGGCTCATTTTACATTTTTCTTATGTTTCAAGTCTTGTATGGCAAATTCACAATTGAATTGTGTAAATCCATTTTTTTTTAAGTAGGTCAGAGTTATTTGCAGTCAATCTTAAATTTAAACATAGTTTTGTTATTAAAATTAATAGAATTTAGAGTATTTATGAATTATAGGAAAATTTTGTTATATTTATGTTAAACATGATATCGTATAGTCTGCTACAGTTATACGAACTATCTCAAGATTTATATTCGCTGATACCATATATCTATCTTTAACCAAAGTCAAAAGTATGCATTATGACTAATTTTTTCATTGTGATTAAATTTAGTGATTGAACATAGTATATTTTTCAATATACAAATTCGGATTAAAATTTTGAAGTAGGTAATTTTCATTCACAGGTGATAAACTTTGACTCAGCTAGGGGTGGAATCTCTTTAGTAACCGAAAAAGGTTTGAAGAGCACAAGTAGACTTTTGATTCAAAGAGCTAGAGGCGCAGACGCTGGACTATATACTTGTGGTCCTAACAACGCTCCTCCAGCATCAACCAGAGTTCACGTTTTGTCTGGTGAGTATAAAGCTTACTAATAAATCACAATAATTATATAGAAAGAAGTAGGACTTATATTGTGTTTTTCTTTGGATGAATTAGAACATCAATAAACAATCCTTGAACTTCTATAGTGAATAAGGTAATTAAAAGTCGCTGGGATATTGAAACGGATTCATGCTTAGCGACATGCGAAAGATTCCAAGTATAAAAAATATGTCTAGGCTATGAAGTTTCATAGAGTAAAATATGTCGACTGTAAAGATGGATGGCGCTTTGGTATCAAATTCATCTGTTTTGTGATTGAGGAGACTTCTGTAAAGTTTGGTCATCGAATGGGCAACCGAAGCGATAATATTTGACCGATGCTTCAATGAATTATCCTCACTAACAGGTAGTTCAGTCTACGTTTGGTGGCTTACAGTGGTATTTCTTTTGATTGCTTAAAAGTTATTATTATTTCTTAGATATCTGCTTAGAATTTGACTTTGATGTCTTATCAATTCAGACATTGATATGTTAATGATAGGTGAGCCTGATTTTCTAAGCCTTCCACTAAATTTTATAGCAGTCTCCCATTTCATTCTCCACTGAGATTGAAAAGTAGAGGTTGCTCTCAAATACGGTTTTAGTTTTAGAGAATAATGCTTTAATCAGGCCCAAGGATTGCAAAATTATAATCAAAATATTTCGATCTTTCCAGGTGAACATCCAGCAGCTATGCAACAGGGATGTGCAAAATCATCATTAGATAGAATGTTATCGATATCTTACTGTATTTTGTCATTATTCTTGTTAAGGAAACCTTCGTTCAATTTCCAGTTCGGTACTTGAATTTACGATTGACTTTATAGTTGATGTAACATTTTCTAATACCATAACTTAGAAAGATAGTTAGAATAGTAAATTCATGGAAATCTGATACAGATTTAAAGGGAAACAGCGATTAAGACTAACTGTTCTATTTCATCAAAGTACTCGTACCTACTTGTATCTGTTGCTGTAAAGCCATCGTTATTTTACTTCAATCGATCAGGCCCTTAAGAATTTACAATTGAAAATTCTTCTGTGGAGCAAAGCATAACATAGGATCTACAAACTTAACACAGTGTTTTCTTCACACACATGACAGCCTTGTCTGACCATCATATTATGTTGCTTTTCTACAAAATTAAGAGGATGTGAAAATGTTTTTAAAAGTTACGTAAATAAATACAATTACAAAATTTTATCATACGCACATAAAAATAGGGATCAAACACAGTTTCGGTGAGTTTTTATTTTATATTTTGAAGGAACTTTAATTTGGAATTAAATGCAGAAGAAAAAAAAATGTCAGGTATGGTTGGTTATATTAATGAATAATACGAACAAAACGTTTGTAATTAATATTTGATTTTGAGGATATATTAAAGAATTCCATTTGAAATTACGTTGATTATACTTACTTATTAAGATTTGTTACGGGTTCTGTGACATTGTAGTTATGCTCGAAAACATGAAAAAAATTGTAGCAAACATGGCAAGATGAGAAAAATTATCTAATATACTAAATTATAATATTCGGCATATTTCCTTCACTAGAATTGTAGATTTTCTTTTATGTTATTTGATACATCAACTTTGTAAATTGTATGTTTTATGTATTTCAAGAGAAAAGTAAAAGTAAGCTAGTGAGTGGATTACAGTAAATCTTTATTAATGACTATGTAAATATTTCCAATATATGTTTTGTAAATAAAAATATAAATAAGTATAGATAAAATCTATCCATTATAAAATAATGAAATTGAGTTTATTATTTTTGTTAAATATCTCAATTCAGCAATTAATTGTTATCGAAGTGATATTTTAATATAACAAATTTAAGAATTTAAGTGAACGCCGAAACACCTGTAAATAAGTTCAAAGTTATTTAGACACATAATATTTATATTAAATGTCCCATGATATATAGTACTTTAGATATACGAGTAGACTATTTATTAAATATTAGACATTCTAATATTGTTTAGAAAAACGGTTGTTGTTTTTTCATTTCAGTTGTATAAAGGTAACACATTTTTATCAATAAAAATTCTATTCTATAAAAATGATATTAAAAATCTAAGAGTCCAAAAGAAAATTATGTTAAATTTTAATAATAAGAAACTTTATCAGAAAGTTACAAATAATGTACATAATATCAACGAAATAAATTTTGTTATACATATAAATATTTGTTTGTATTTTCGATGATAAAATTAAGTTTTTAACTTTTTTTTGAAGCTGATTCCTTGCAGTCATACCATGACGTAGGATAAACGGGTCCGAAGACATCACACTGGACTAAAAAGGTAAAGATTGTATTCCGATCCCTGCAGTCGCAGCCCGGGAGTCACGACCCGGCAATAGCGACTCGGCAACCGCATAGTGTAGGTATTATTCTTTTGTACACTGTTTTTTGATATTTTTCTATCGGAATTCTTCGTTTGTGTATGAAGCAAGTCGATGCACGCGATTGTGCAGCGCCACCCGCCCGCTCCAAGAATAGTGTTGCAGCTTGCAGCGCTGCTCGCTCATGGCAATATAATGATCGTGTACAGATGAAATTAACAGATTGTTAGTAATTCTACTAACTAGTAAAAATCCGGTGCTCTACGATTCTCAACTCAAAACCTTCAAGATAATTGCGGCACACTCTTCTGCATCCTCTGTCATTCCCTGGCGAGTGATAGTTTTCGTTTCTTTAAGTTGTCAGACATAGTTCTGCTTTAATAGCAAAAATGACCCAACAACAGTTCACAATAATTATGCATGTGGCAGTCGCAGCCAGCAGGTGCAGCCCAGATTAGCGGGCTTTGATGTATTTTCTGAAACTCCGCTGATTCGGATATGTAGACAGAATGTCAAATGAGAGAATGACGAATCAGATATACGACGCAATAGTGGCAGGATTTAGAAGTCGGGGAAGGACAAGACTCACGTATCACGATCAAATTATTGGCATTCTGAATGTAGGTGACGTCAGAAGACGCAAAAATCGGCGGCCGTGTATGAAAATATTAATGAATCTGAAGGTAGCGAAAGAACCGTGTACGGACCACGACTAATGGCGTTTTATTTTATCTGCCTTCCCCACTCGAGACACAGCGTGAAAATAGCCAGAGATAGATTCTTGAAATTCGAGGAAGATAGGTCACAGCTGATTTTTTCAGAGAACCGGAGCGGCCGTTTTGAGGAAAAATACACTACCATTTAGTCCTGTCATATTTTTGTTGGTCAGGTTGCCTTAATATCCAAGAATAATGTGCCCATACTTCCAGTATGGAGTATATGGATGTTATTTTTCTCTCCCAGTCCGCTGGGAGAGAAAAATGACATATACGAGTATAACGTGCCAGATGGTCATGTCTATTAGCGTATTAGCAGACAAGGTAACTTCGTAAACTGTCGTAAGCGATGGGCTTGCAACTGGTATTACTGTTAAACTATATCGTAATTCATAATATGTAATTATCGTGAGTTATTCACCACCTTATAGATGGCGAAAATAGTATTGTAATTCTGTTAATTCTACTTGTATTTCTTTATATTATTATTTAATGATTAGAATATTTTTAAAGGGTTTTGACGTGGCACCGGCACCAAATCTTATTTTGACTTTAATTGTAGATACGTTACGGTTTAAGTAAAGAATATGTATTATTTTAGTGCTTTTATATTTATGAAGTATTTTTATTCCACTTGTTTATTTTATTTTACGGCTAGAAATAAATAAAGGTATCCAAGAAGACAAATCAGAACCAGAAAAATATAGCAGCTACTGTTACATAAATTACACATCAAAGCGAAGAGAAATTTATATTACCTACTCATTTCGCTCCTTACTCAATTTATCATCAATCGCTGAAACTTCTAATATTGTTAGTTTGCTAGCGGCCGCCTCCGACTTCATCCACGTTAGCTTTAGTTTTTTGGGCATCCCCATTCATTCCAAAAAATCATATTCGGGGTTTAAAGTATCCTATATCTCAAACTAGGTTATAAACTATACGTGTACCAAATTTCATCTAAATCCGTTCAGCCGTAATTGAGTAACAATCATGGTAACACACAAACATACTAACTTTCACATTTGTAATATAAGTAGGATAGAACACCAATTAAACTAAAACTCCTTAGCTAACATTAATCAAACACTTAAAACTTGAATATCTTCAGTCATCAAGCGAATATAAATATTGGACCAATCAGAAATCCATTTCGGAGGTGTTATTGAAACAAGGCGTGGTTTTGGGATGAAATTTGTTAGATGTGCTCAGCCCTTTTATGACAGTAAGACCCTTTAATATAGGTCGAAAAATGACGATACATTTATTATGTGAAAAGGTTGTTTTAATTAGAACCGGCTTTCATTTCAAAATCGAAAACCTTTGTTTTTTATTGAACACACTTTGTATTGAACATCATAATCAACAAGTGATCTTTGTCAAACCAATATCTGCATAAATACATTTCAGCGCAGCAATTAATATTTAACAATATTGTGGCTAATTCACATAGCACATTTTTTAAGCAACCTCTGTTCACCTTTAAATGCAGATTCGCTTAACATTATTTTTTTCGAATTCGGTTAATATACTAGAGTATACTCGTCGTAATGATGGTATATTGTAAATAATATAGTATATTGTAAATAATATCGCGACCTTGGATAGTAGTAACAATATCGATACGACTATCGATTTTTGAATCGATAATGTCGATACTTATAAAAAAAACGAGCGAGCCTTACAGTCTTCGCGTATGATGTGTAACATTTGAAACCTCACCTTATATTAGTAAAAAAAGAAAATAAAACCTACTACAATGGAATAAGATATTTGAACATTTTTTTGAAATCAAATCAAATTGCGCGCGCTTTAGCGACTTACTGTTACACACTTCCGTCCCATTTCACGAATCACTCCTACAAATTGCAGGAAAGCGAGAGAAAAGATGTTACACATCAAAAGCACTTCACTATTGATATACATCAATGCTAATATATATACTATTTACTTTTAAATATGTCGAAAGGGAATACTGTTAAATTTTACTATAGACTTGACTTGATATTAGTGATGCCAGGTCCGATTTGTTTTAAATCGGTACATGAGGTCAAAAAAATCGGGATTTAGGTTTGCAGGTCGGGACAGTAAACAAAAAACTAGGGGTTTTTAAGTCTGCGTTTAATTTATTTCGTGCAATTTACTAGTGCATGTATAGTATTATATTAATTACCTAAATTTAATTTTTTGATTAATCGGGACATTTAGCATCCCGATCAGGTACAAATCGGGACGCGACCCCAGACCCCTGAATATCGGTACGTCCCGCGCAAATCTGGACACCTGGCAACACTACTTGAGATTGACCGGATCGATTTTGTCAAATATTAAAACCTACTTGTTTAAAAACTGGCCAAGCGCGAGGCTAGCCTGTGAACTTCACAACATACAAAGTACATTATGAATCGACGTTTTCAGTAGTTTAGTATTTGTTGTTTAAATACAGCACTATAGGACATCATATATTATACCAAAATTTCATCCTTAAAAGGTTTCGATTTTGAGATGGACCCCATAAATAAATGGTCTTAAAAATAACAACTTTGACGCATTGAACATTGAAGAAATATTGAATTTGATTCATAAAATGCAAAAATGAGATCGTTCTTTATAATTAGTACTATTTGAATTCGGACACGGAATCTCGACGCCAGGTGATAAAATTAATACGAAAATTAAAAGGTTCTGTCATTTTCATCGGATCCGTGATTTGTCTAAATTTTTGCCGAAAACGCGTATTCTCCTCCTTTTTATTCGCATAATTAGCTCAACGAGAGACATTAATATTTAAATAGGAAGCGAAGATGATATTTTCTACTTTGAGGGGCAAATGGTATTAAGTAAAAATCTGTTTTTGAAGTGAAACCTTATTTAGGTGCGTTGGGATTTTTTTGGATGAGTTTAATTTATTTATTTCTAATTCTAAAGAAAAGTTTACTATACAAAATTCCACGTAGACCAGGCAGCAGACGGGACCGCGTGGATTTTTTTTTGCAAACTTCTCTTTAGATTAGAACTTCTAGCAGTTAAAAGTTTAAACACATATATATGTTTATCGATTACTTATTTATTTTTGTTCACATTTTGTTAGTTTGTCTAGTTTTTTTCATTTTGAGTCATTTTGAGTTTTCACTTCTATTGACACTACCAGAGTACCACTGCCTTTTTAGGGTACCGTAATCCTCTTATAAGGAACGGTCCTAGTATAAGGAACTCTTATAGCTTCGTCATGGTCGTCTGTTTGTCCGTCCGAGGTTTTGCTTGGAGACTGTTGGCTCTAAAGAGCTGTTATTTTGTGGAGATATAATATTATTATCAATCACACCGACAAAGTGGTAGAATAAAATCTTGCTCATGTTGATAATTTTTTTTAGAGTAAATGTAATGTAAATGTAAATCCCCTACATGTAAAGTGGTTTTTTTTTATTCATCGTTTACCCCTTCGTTTGGGTTGTCGTTGAATAGGTCCTCTAAATTTAATAGGGATTGCTAAGACTATTTTTCGATTTAGTGATCCGTTTGCAAAAAGCTAAGCTTTAAAGTGATAATTCATGTTCGAGTACGCATCTCCCTCTAAAATCTAAACAATTAGCTTTTGAAAAATCTGAAAAAAAAAACAATAGTTTGTATAAGAGTCTTTCAACTTATACAGTCGTGGTCAATTAATTAGGGACAGTCAGACTACAAAGCAACATTGAATGTTCATATCCTATTATTGTGAGCTTCATTCGAGATTACTGACTGTTACTTTGTAAACATATTCACTATCAAGAGAACTCTAGTTAACATAATACAATAACAAAAAAAAACTTACTAGCCTAATCAGAAATCAATATAGTTTAATAAAAAATTTATGTATAGTACAACCCCTTTGAATCGTCCAAATATATTTTCCCTGCCACTCGTTATATTTTTTAGCTGCGGAGAAAAAAGTTGATGAAAATACTAAAAATCAGTTTTACGAGATATTTCAAGGTGTTTGGAATAATATTTCGTTAGAAACCTATAATAATTTAATTGTATCGATGCCGCGTCGATGTCTAATCGTTATAACCAACAAAGGCAACCATACTGGTTATTAAAATACGTTTAATGATT